CACCATCCTAAACCCCCACGTAGGGCAGTGGGTAGCACATTTTTAGGCACGATAGCAGCTTCATGTAATTAACAGAACTCTCTCACAGTCTGCTTCTGAATTTATTTTCGCCATCTCTCACTAGTCTTCGTACAAAATTTGGTTCAAAGGATTTTTTCTTCCTTTTTTGTTTTTACAGCTGACAGGACAGGGGTTACATCTACATGTAGAACACGAATAATTAGTATTTATGCTTACAGCCACTAACATACTTCAGACGGTGAAAAATTTCTGAGGCCATGTAGTTAATACTTTTGGGGATGGCTGAGCAAAGAAATGGTTCTCAGCTAAGCCACTAGAGAACCACACAAGCAGCCAAGTTTATGATCATCACTTCGCTACATCTTCGGATTTTCATCCCAGCCCATTACGTTTGCTCACTTTTATCACATTCACAAAATGTTTGGAGTCAGATTTTATCCTCCAATTAACCACGTGCTTTCAGCGTGCCCGAGTGAGCTGACTTGCTAAGTGTCGTCACGCTTTTCTGAAAATATGTTTTTAATTAGAAAAAAGACCATATAAAATAATTGGGGAAAAAGCTATAAAAGAAATGCAGAATATTACCAAATGTGAACAAATTACATACTATTATGCAAGTGAGCTGTTTAAGTTAATGAAATGTAAGACTGTTAAGAATAGCATTACAAACACCAGAACCGAATTAGCGTACCTGTGGACAGTCACAACGTGGAAATGCGAAATCTTTACTTTGTAACATCACAACCTTTTTTACCACCTGTACTATTCTTACACAAAAAGATTAGAAAACATCTGAAGCCCCTTTGCAATGTTCTGGATGAACGTCCATCCAGAATAGTCAGCTCGGTTTTCGCTGGGAGCAGAGGAAGTACATACTTTCTTGCCTTCTAAGCAGTCAGTTTGCACTTTCTGTCAATCATTAACTGATAAAATCCTCTCAAAATACACCGCCCCACTTGTAGGCTGCAAACTATTTCTCATCTAGGGCTGCAAATGTAATCTAAATATCTTCCTTCAGCCCTGCAGTTGCATTTCATATATGCTTCAATATGAAAGAAATATGTCCACTTGGCTGTCTTGCAAGGTTTGAAAGTTGTCTTTGTATTTTAATATTTATTACCTTTCAGTTTTCTGTATATACAAGATCTATAAAGATCTATCTTTCTTTACTCCAGTAGGTCAGTGTGGGATCCTCTAATCATGCTGGGCCTCATCTTGCTGTGCCTCACTACGTAGCAATGCAGGTTCTACATGTATTCAGTGCTCACAGACTTTCACAGCAGTGGCATGTACAAGATGTTCCAGCTTACTTATATTCAATCCACAAGCAGCAATAGACTGCTATGGTGTTTGTTATTTTTTAAATTAGGTATTACACACACAAATATATGTTAAAATCTGAAGATGGTAAAGTCAGTCATCCAAATATTTGGAAATGCCATAATTAATGCTATGTCTACCTTTATGTTAAAAGCAGTTGAGATTAGTTAGCACTTCTGATTGCTTGGGAACTTGTTGCCATTTACAGAAAATAAGCAGCTGCTTAAAAGTGCACTTAACCAACTGATTTGACACAACATCACCTTGGCAGAGATAAAATACAGCTCTCAAAATGCATTCACCCATTCTAGCCATGCTATAGTCTTTTTCCTTCCTCAAGCTCCCTGCTTCAACCCCTGCCTCATTTCAGTACATGCTCTCATCCTGTGCATGTAGCTTCCGCAAGCCAGGACTCCTCTACCAGAAACCTTGACTCAAGTATCACCTGCCAGCCTGTGCCTCAGCCCTTTCTTCCCTTAAAGCAAGCCAAGTCCACACCCAAGTCTCACTCTGTTCTGTAGCTTCTTGACCATCTGCAGCCACAGTCTCTTCTCACCGGTCCTGATTCCTTCTGCTGAGGCGCCCTAGCTCCCCACTAGGTATGTCCAAATCTTTAACATGCTCCTTCATATCACAGAATGTGTTAATTCACAACACATTAAAAGAAAAAAACAACCGCCATTCAAACAGAAAAACAAAGATATTCATCATATGGTCTTACCAGCACACAGCACATGTGCATATATGACTAAGACATGAGGGAGGAGAACCATATGTAGCTAACTATTTGCAATGCAGATTCAGAGAGATTTTCCAAATTATGTCACGGATGACAAGAATATCAACACAATTACACATATACTCACACACAGTCTTTTTACAGTCCAAAAGGAGATGGGGCTGGATGAGGACCACTTGGGTATAATGTATGCAACATGGGTTTACATAAGACTAAGGTAACACTGGTAAATTATGGAAACAAAAGATGATGTTGTAGAATTTATTTCAGTCTCACCAAGCAGGGAATATGACCTGAACTGGAGCAGCTCTATTTTTTCTGGATAACCAAGTATCAGCAAAGGATCAGTAACATTTACTTCCATTCATGTATGGCTGCTGGGATGCCAGGTATTTTCTAGAAATAGACATCACAGAGGCTAGCTGTATCTTCTTAATTTCCATTTGGATGACTGCAATCTGCTCTGAACTTAGAAAATACTTGAAAAATTCAGTTAGCATAGAAGTGGGCAATATTTTAGAGGCACAATTTTTTGGAAACAGCCATCTGTGCTTGATAACATTTGGAAAATTTAGAAAAATGTTACTTCTCTCTCTTCTCCTCACTTTTTTGTCAATAAATTGCTTTAAGTTTTTTGACTAGTTCTGCTTGTTTTCCCATATTTGCAGTGGCTTTCTTTTAATTAGTACTTTGGAAAAAAGAAAATTAGAGGTTTAAAGCCAAATATACTGCGATAGCCTACACAATACTGATTCATTCCTGTTGGCCAGAGACCTTAGCTTCCCTGTGCGTCTTCATGTCCTAGACTTAAAATTATTCCATTTTCTTTAAAAAGTCAAACCGTGATGTTTTGGGAAACAAACCAAGAAATAAATCTATATTAAATTCTCCAAAGCTGCAAATCCATTTCGAAAACTCTTGCTGCAGAATCTCAAAAATTTATTCTCCAGTGACACTTAGTTCTGTTAAGCTTCACTTTAAGACCTATAGCTACTTTATCATCAATTAGGAATGGAATGAATGGACACCAGTGAAAATGTATTTCTAAGACTCTTTCCTGCTTTGCATTAAGGTTAACATTATCAGTAATCCTACTGAAAAGCCTGCACTTTCCTTGTTCTGTGCACTGTTGTAGAGACTTATCGCATGGCAAAATCAGAGTTTTACTCTCCAAGGAGATCTTCACAGTTGCCTGTTTGCATCACACAGCATCGCTGATCATTCCTACGCGCTATCTATCCATAACATAATTAATCAAAAATCCTGAACAGACAGAGACAAATATCAAATATTTTTATGAAAACTGAAGAAACTGCATCCTTTAAAAAAAATGCAAACACACACTATGAATACATGTTCTATATCCATACCTATAATATATACTGTATGTACAATCCCCAAATATAACTTTTTAATGAATAAAAATATGCTATACTATGGATACACTGTATTCCAGTGGGAACACATAAATGAACAAAACAAAAAAGGGATTTGGATGCATCATTCACTTAATGTCCAAAGAAGTTATTCATATCAGCCTGATGCTATTACTTTGCATCCAGAGGATTCTCCTAGGCAAAATATTTTTTCTGCATTGTACTCTGTGCTTTCACCCTACTAAATCCAAATCATAAATCTTTCACATTTAACTATTACTTGTATCTTTAACATTATGAAGTCTTTATTTGAAGACAGGCAACAATCACACAGAAAATAAAAAGGACACATTTTTACTGTGCAACTTCCATTAATCTCACTAGATTAATGTGATGGCACATTGTATAAGACTAAGCACTCACATGTTTCATAGTCATTTTTGTGTCACCAGCAGCTTTTCTTTTCACATTTATACCAAGAGATTCATTCTATAAGGTTTAAGTAGTAAATACTTCAAAACATTCAAATATTAAATATCCATTTTAGTTCCAAAAAAATCATAAAATATGATTCACATAGTGTACTATCTACATTATTTCACTTTTTCAGACAAAGCACACACTTAATATTTTACTGTCTGTCTTCCCCCATTTTCCTCCAAAATATTTAACAAACATCAGCAAACGCCGTTTGTAGCCTCAGCTGAAGCTCATAAAACTGTTAGTTCAGTGTACCTACATTTCCTTCACTGACTTAAATTATAAGAGACCAACTTCAAAACCATTGACTGAAAACTAATCTTAAATACTGAGTAAGTGTAACAGATCCTGTAACTATACCTCCAGAAGAAATGCATTAGATATGCATGAGGAAAAAAAAAAGCCACAAAATAATTACAGAAACATTAGGTGTCACGTTAACTCAAAACATGTTTCTTTTTTTGCAGGCCAACAGCCGAAGGCAGGCTCCTCTCTGATTCACTGCACTACCCAAGCACAAAAAACAGTAACAGGGGAGCTCTGCAGCACACAGCAATGTTGCAGTGGCTTAACTCTCTCAAGCAAGAGGGTGCTTTCGTTAAAGTACTGGACAGACATCAGCTGTACTGCTTTGGCTCATCTGCCACTGAAGAGGCAGGTACCACCTTGGACACACAGTTGGAAGGAAGACTGCCACTGACATGAGACTGAACAGCACCCCGTCATTTTGTTGATAGCCATCCACAGAACGACCCTGCAGACACAAATGCTGCTGGAATACCAACCCCCCTCCTTCTAGTTAGCTACTTGGGTGGATAAAGGGAAAAGAGACTGGGTTCACATGAATCCAGGGGTCCTTCCTCAAATGCTCAAATTCTCCCAGCTACTTCCCACTACCTTCTCAGGCCTGGAAACAGTCTGTTGACCAGCATGCACCCTGTTGTTTCCAGACACGAGACAAAGCACAACCAACCCTGCCAGACCCCGCTGCTTGGTGTGACACAAACTGCTTAGGCCACATATTCAAGTTGCAAGACAGTACAGAAATAAACAGTTACACTTACTGATCCCACGTATGGATGCAATGGAGAAGATGAGAAAAACTGTTTCAGGCATTGAAAGAGTCTGGCCTTTTCAGGAAAATTCCTTCTTGTCCCTGTTAACACAGGTGATTTATTAGCACGTATAAATTTAAAACCACTGCCCTAACTGAGCACAGGATGGTAGAGAAAGGTGTGACCTGTTTCTGAATTTGGAAAAAATTAATGCAAGCCAAGTGACTCCAGCGAGTATTTTTTGCTGGTTAAAGAAAATTAACACTTGCCACCTCTGAGCTCCTTCTACCATTTTGTTAATGCAAGGATTTGCTAAGAGTATTGTTACGTCCTTCATCCTGTTAGTTGCCATCCATCTTCTGGATTTGAAATGGTCTACTTATGTGAGTAAAAAGACACAAATATTTCTACAGTGAGCATCCCCATGTACTTCAAGTATGCACAATATGGCAGGTCTATATCTATCTTCAGGTGAAAATTAGCCATGTCTGCTTGTAATTTTGCTTCCCTGCATTAGTCCAAATCCATATCTGCACTAAGCGCTGCTCATGCCATTTTGGCATGATTCTGCATGAAAGCAGTGCAACATTGCAAGACTCAATGAAGGCAGAGTAAGAAAGAGCATTTTTATCACAGCACGCCACACACTGCCTATTTATACCACTGCTGCTGTGCTGTTGCCCCACACTCTCACAAATCAGTGCAGTACCTATTTACCGAAGTCCCCTTTATGAGGTATGTCACTACCTTCCTTGCTTTTATCTGCAATGCCATCAAAAAATAATAACTGCATTTTGAATATACACAAGTTTTGTACTAGTCCTGCTACATTTCAGTTCCATGATGTACCCCTTCATTATATTAATATTGATAAAAAAGTTCATTTTTCCGGAAATGTTGCCCTCCTCTCTCAAACGTGGATTCTTTTTGCTCCTGCCTGACAGAATAAGCACATCAAACTAAAGCAATGTCATATTTTGGCAGATAATTAAGAAATCATCTACCTCAAGACCTAAGTTGAGGACAGCAAACTAAGATTAAGTTCATCGTATCCTGACCAAGAAAATCTACAAAGGATCACGCTTACAGTGAAAGCAAGGCTGGAAGCTTAGCTTTTCCATAAATTTCGGTTACTAATAATGCTGAAAACCCAGGGAAGAGAAAAGGGATTTCTAAATAGGCTGTGTAATTGCTAGAAATAGCCCCTCACTCACTCCTGATTTGTGTCATAGAAGTCAGCTGGTCTTATGCATGTCTATCTGAGAACTGAACCACACAAATTATTTTTGAGAGTGCTTTAAAGTCTACTTCAATGATTAGGTATCAGCCTTCGGTGACATTTTTAGTTTGAGAGCACACACAAAAGCATTTATAAAAAGAACATTTTCTCCCTTCATGTCTGACTTATCTAGGGGATAAAACGTAACAGTGAGAGGAGGAGAGGGAATTCTGAGGGAAAACATTTCTCAAGTTGAAAGGACGTGTCTGTTTTGACTGACACAGCAGAATCCTTACAGCACAGGCAACTTTTCAGATATAGCAACTCTGGTTGCTTCTATGAACTTGCAAGCGCTCTCCCTGGAAGCACAATTTCAGTCAGCGGGATGCTCATATGGTCTTGGCTTACATCTGGGCTCTAATATAACATATTCCAGCATTTAAATGAACGCCGTCCAATCTCTTCCACAGCGTTGATGCAGAGGGTCTAGACCTGAGGCTGAAGTTCTTTAAAGCTCTACTCTCTAAAGCCCTGTGTCTTACTGCTTTGTAGTTCAAGAACTAAAGGCAACTTGCATAAATTAATCTGTCAGAAGCATCCTCAACAGCTCAGGGGCAATCTCAGCATGGAGGAATTTATTCCTTATGGACTCTTGTTCACACTTTCTAAACAAGTCCCCGAAATCCTTGAACCTACTTTTCAGCCAGAACCAATTCAATTCACCTGGGAAGCAGAAAGTAACAGTTTGTCTCAATTCGCTGATGCTATTCTTAGACTAGCATCTCCTTCTCCAAAAAAAGTTCAGAATAAGTCAATTCCTGTTAAAGATGTGATAATTCAAACTGCATGCCTACATTTAAGCACATATTTAAACTGAATATCTAGTGATTAAGTAGGTAAGCAAAAAAAAGAAATTATAACTTTACAAACTATCATAATCTGATTCAGAAGGGAACATAACTATTAAAGCCACTATTTTCAGCAACCACCTTTTTGAACACCTGAGGTAAAGATTATTTGAACTCAGCATGAAATAAAGACTGTGGGAAACCAGCAGTACATTTCCTTGCGTAAACTCGGAGGATTTCCTAGTACCGAGCAATCTCCTAAATCTTCTAACACTCAAACAAAAACAAATTCAACCTGGACTAATGAAAAATATTCAGTTTGCCTACATTCCTGAGATAGAAAAATTAAATGTCTCTTGTTCAGGTAAAATTGCAAAATTAATTATGCCCATGAGGCTACTCCTAATCAGTAAGCTGTAAAAACTTTGGACAAATTTAAATTCTGTATCTTTAATACCATCTATTTCATGCAACAATACAAGTGCACTATATTTAATCGATACCTGAAAATGCATGCAGTGTGTCTTTATATAGCTGAATGTGTAAAGGATAAAGCCTACATAGTGTAGTTTAAACTGCATACAGTCAGAGTCAGCAAACAGCTCTCCTGATCAACCTAATGTCTAAATAAATTCAGCACATTCAGTGCAGTTATTTTAAATACCGCATGTGGGCATAGGCAATAACCAGTTGTTAAAGTAGTGATGCTCCTACGTGATATTTTGAAATACATTTTCTCCTGTATTGCTAGCAGTTATTTTTGGCACATGCTCTTATTTTGTAAACCTGTTCTCTTCTACTACCTTCATTATTATCTTGACCGAGCTCTTTCTCCTTCTGCTCTAAAACTGCACTTTGAATACAAACAGAACCAAATTCAAGTATCTTTCCATATGACATCTCTATTTCTGTCGTAAAAGATTACAGTGTAACTGAGAATCAAAATGGCAGATTATGACTGTGGCTGTAGCATACAGCTATGCAAATCCAGGGTAATTTGGTATGGAGTTCCTTTAGATTTACCCCATTTGGGAGATAAAAGTTTGATTAAGTCTGATACAAAGAAATGACCACACTGACAATAAATATATGTACCTCTGTTGATTGTTTACTTATTCTGAAAGGGAAGGAGAGCTAAAAGTCTATTCCAAAACCCAGTAAAGTTAATCTGAACATTCCCCTAGTAAATCTGTACCTGAAACTATGAGAGAATTCAACTATGTGTTTATGTCTTGCGGTTAAGGTCAGAACAAATCCTCAGAAGGTATTATAAAAATGCCACCTCAATTAGCATAAACAGTCCTTGGAAACAAACAAACAAAATCTGACATCCCTTATTACATGCTGCACAATTGCTCAGCCAAAACTGACACCTGCCTCACTGGTCTGAGAGTTACAACAAGACTTTTTGTGGGTAAGGAACATCCTTAGATCTAGCCCATCCAGAACAGCGGGGGCTACAGCTCTGTCTTGCTAGAGTATGCATTTTTCAAAGGATTGTGATCTCTTACAAAGCTGATACTTTCATTACCAGTAAAATCATTTCAAAGTATATTTTACTGTAATGCATGGTCAGACATATAAGTTAATATATGAAACTTTATGAAATATAAATCATATTATTTGAGAACAAATAAGTTTTAAGAAGCAGAACCTAGTCAAAGTAAGATGCAAATAGTAGCTTGCATTTAAAAGAATTATGGTCAATGTTTGGTAGAGAGTTGTTCATAATGTTTCATAATCAAGATTAATTTCACTCAGTAAAAAAAAGACATGCAACTTGAAACAATTTACTAATACATTTCTTACAAAATCAATTTTGCAAAATATACTTTGCAAGATTTACATAGAAAAAAAGATCAGGCTATTTCCCTTCGTGTAAAATCTGATCAGATAGCATGTAATAGAGCTGACAAAGTCCTTTGAAGTTTCCTATGAGACTTGAATTTCAGCTAATTTTCTTATGCAAATAAGGGCTAACAAGTTACTTTTAAAATTTCAGCTCTTTTGACTACAAAACCTTTAAATAGATTATTCGTAGCTTTCGTGTTTAAGCAGTTTTGAGTATATTCTCATCTTATTGCACAGACAACTATGTATAAGCCTCTCATTAAGGATAAACCGCCTCTCACTGAAATGAGAATATACCCCTAAGGGTTTCTGAATTAAATTCATGTTCAGTTATTCATCCAAATTATTTCACATTTTCATAGCACGCTGACACAGTCGATATAACGTCATGGTAAAGACAGATATACTACTCATAATCTGCACTAAAATACGAAAACATTTATGACTTCATGTGAGTACATCCTTTAAAAGGTGGTGGGTTGGAAGAGGCATTTGGCAAGACAGTTTTGCTCCATGTCAAGACTTCTGTCAGTGCTTGAGGATTGTTTACTATTTGTCATGCCTGTGCTGTTATTCTGAATAGAGATCAAACTAAATTTCTTTGGACAGAAGATGGAATTCCAAATATTCCTTTTGACATAACACATGCAGTATTTGATAAAACCCTTGACCAAAGGGAGACGGATCCAGCACACAAAGCTTAGTCTAAACTTAAATTAATCCAAAACTTGACTGTGTTTTGATACAGGGTCTCGTATACCCTAGAAACACGTTATACCTAGATCCTGATCTTCAGGTTGATTTTTATTTGAAGTATCCATGTAACCATTTGATCAGTCTGTGTTACATTTCCCCTTTATGTCTACCCACAGAGGATACTCGTCTGTGAGCCTTCCACTATAAACTCTAAACTCTTCAGCTTAAGTTTAAGATTCAGGCATTCACCTTTGCATGTTCTCAATTGAATTAGAAAAAAATTAATTGGCCAAAAAATCAGAACATGCTTGAAATCATGATATGATAATTTTTTTACTCCTACCTTAATAATTGGTAAACAAAAATTATGTAGTAACAACATGAGGGAGATGTGATTTTTTTTTTAATAACCTCATGCCACTGTGAGACCAAAAAGGAGGAGTGAAAAGTAAATCTTTTTACTGTTTGGCTTGGTATGTATTTTTTT